AGCGTTATTGTTAAAATTTCAATGTTGATACAGATAGGAGCTTCATTTACTGGTTTGATTTTATTGACGAAATTAAAATGTACAGCAACTCCAGAAGGAAATCTTAAGCATTGCCCAAAATGTCGGAATTAATACAATTTAACATTTTTAATTCAATAAATAAATTTTTCAAATACATTCTGTCAATACGAGTATTGCATGTCATTTCAATGTGTGTTGCTAATCATCAAAGTTTTTAACGTCACGAAAGTATCTACGTAATAATTGTATGATCTGACTATTTTTGGCTACCAACGAAGATGATATGATATTGTTCAATATGTTTTTGAGTATCGAATGATTACTGCGTGCAGTTTTTCGTCAAAAATGTTCGAGACTTGACTTGACTTCAGGTCCTATATGGGCGTTTTTCAAACAATTAATGTCTTCTTTCTATGTCCAAGGACATATATATATTTATTTGTCTCAGTCTATAAATTGTACTTAATAAAGACAACGATAACACTTTTTGTCTGCCTTTCGGTAAAAAAATCTCTGAAAATATCACACCAAAGGGCTCAAAAACAGCATAAAAGATTTGTCCACATTTGAAAGTTTATTCAAATTTTCAAAATTTCATACAATTTACCAATTGAAAGTATTCAAATATTTACATAGGTTGAAATAGATTTGTGCTAGTAACTTTTTAAGTGGCGTCCATGAAAAAAATATCCACTTCGCAACGACAACAAACAATTGGCAAAATTATAATCATTCGTTTATTCAAATTCTAGTATTTCCTTTTACTTGCCATTAATACAACTTCATTTAGTGAAATGGCGGTCATCTATGGATACTGATGATATACATGATATAGTTCGTCTGCATTGAATCATTTGGCAAGTCCTATTGATAGCGTACTTTTTTACTTTTCCACTTTGCAACGTCTTTTTTTAAGAAATGTTGACCTCAAATTATAAAATTACGTGAAGTTTATGAAATGAAATGTATTATTTAAGACAATAATCATAAAAACATGTACCTGAAAAACCACGTGTAACAACAATGGCTGCTAACATGTAAATACGTCCATTGTGCAACGGTCCACTACGCAACATTTCGTTTCGAAGTGGACACAACGCGTTGCGTAGTGGACACAGGATGTTTCATAGGGGACACATATCGTTACGCAGTGGACATTTGTGAATATTTTAAAAACGGATTGTAATATTTTCTAATAGTTAAAATTACCAATCAAATAGTTGAACCGAATAAAATCATTTATTTTGTCAGATTCTTGGAGAAAAAATACTTTTAAATTCTAAATTTTTAGCATGATAGAGTCTTGAAAACCCGTTGCGAAGTGGACATCTTGGTACACCATGTTCACTTTTACAGAGTTGTTGTCAATTTTAACGTTCAGTTTGAGATTGCATATTTTGCATTTAGTTTATACTGATGTTAAAGTATTGACATGTACAATTAAATCACCTATTTCTCAACTTTTTTTTTCATTTTCCAGCTGTCAAAAATAGACATTTTTTTGGAAAAAGGCCCATATGCAATATAAAGTCAGATACAAATGTCAATCGACTCACCAACTTTGTAAGATATTTCCTAGCTCCGGTTATCACCCTTTGATTACCAATCAAAATAATGAACCAGTACTCTTTTCTGATTATGATGTTTTTTCCTTGATCTAATTTCAGTTTAATTCCAGAAATGAAGAACCATTTCCACTTTATCTTTTCTATAGTTTTCAAGACATTAAGCAATGATAAACGAAATCCGTAAACTCGTCATTTAAGGGCGATAACTAATTTAAGGGATCGTTTGACAGTGAAAATGTACGGAAAGTAGAACATTTCTGCCTCTGTCAGATTTTCTCTATCTATATCAATTTTCAATAGACAACACTTCCATTTTAAACATATTTTCTATGTTTAGCCATGTCAGCCATGTCATGCCATAGTGTTTTTTAACAGATAAACAAGGCACGATCGTAGAAATATTCTTGCCTTGTTAACTAGTTACAAATCATAAATAGTACTGTCAATATAACTTCTAGCTTACACGGACCAAACTATTAGATGTAGCAGAAAAAAATCATAATTTTATAACTTTTTACTTATAAATACTTAATATATGAATGTCGACCAGAGTTTCACTTAAAGGTTCTTTACACAGAGTCAAAACAATAAAACCTTTTGATAACTTACATACATTTAAGAAAAAGGGGAAAGTGGCATTCATTATAGGGTGCGTTTGGTTTTCAGGTGTGTTCGATCTGTTGTATATTAAAGTGAAAGGAAAATTACACTAGTTCGTTAAAATGGGCTACGTCCGACGCAAAGAAAATGTTCGATGAAGTTGGAGTTGACAAATGCATTATCTCTAATTCTCTATTTGAGGAAATTTTAAGTATAGCAACATAATCTGGAAGGAAAAGTCTGCTTAATTCTGCAACAATAAACGTGACGATTTATTTATTTATTTGAATGAATTCTGTAATGATACAGAAACTGATTCCACCATATTTAGGTATCAGAGGTCTTGTTTTAAAAGCTACACAAGTAAGCAGAATTGAAATCAGTAGCACGGTCTCCGGCTGAAAAGGAATCACCTGATATGTAGCCATATTTATCCAATTCTTTGTTGGTTTGAAGTAATGTTGACCCTCTCGTTACATCAAAATGTATAAAAAATGTCTCATAAAAAGTAAAACATTACAAATCATTGAGTCTGCTGAAAGATAAGCCACACTTAATGATGCTGATGTTAGAGCAGTCGACGCTTAAATGATATACCGAATACAGCAAGAGCATTTGCTCAATAGTTCAGTTGATCAGGCTGCATTTTCCACAACAAACTTGGCATATAGACCAAAATCCATTGATAAATCTATGTATGACATGATGTTCGAAAGGGTAATTGAAATTTTAGACAAAGACCTTATTCATGACAGAAGGTCTCTTGTTATGTTATCAATTTTGACAATGTACCAGTCTTTCTAACCAAATAACAGTAAGAGCTACTGTAATTCCTCTAAACTCGAGGCTAAATTTGAGAAGTACTACAGGGAAGCCAAAGTGTTTTTTTCTCAATAAGGACAAGTTAATCGAGCATTATTTTTTTTTTTTTTTTGGCAAGCGACATTTCTATTTGTGACTCCTTTAAAGCTGCAAATAACATCAAAGCAGAATCGTAAATTGCTCATAAGCTGACAAACGGTGGTGTTATCAGTTGTCCGATTCTACGTTGTAACTACGATAAGGCAGATACCCAGTTTTACCCGGTCACATTCATTATGCGTCTATCCCAAGTCAGAAGCCTGTAGTTCAGTGGTAGTCGTTGTTTCATGTTTTTCATATATGTTTTTCGTAAGTTGTTTTGTTATGAATTAGTTTTAATTGTTTTACATTTTTCATGTTGGGATCCTTTTTAGCCGACAATACAGTATGAGTTTTTTTCTTGTTGTTGAAGGCCGTACGGTTGCCTATTATTGCTTACATCCACTTTATTTCAACTCTGGTGGAAAGTTATTTCATTTGAAATCATACCACTTCTCCTTATTTTTATAAGGGAAGAATTGATATTGAATCAGATGATACTGAAATTCTTCTTCTGGCTGTACATTTCTGTAATAGTTTATTTCCAGAAAACTCAGTGCAAGACGAATCCTGGAAATCTGAGACGAAAGTAACCTGCAAATGTTGTATGTTTATCAACAATGTATTTCGGATACTCTGTTTATACATATTATTCTAAAATGTATGTTTATCTTGTCCAGAAATGCTATTTATTGAGGTCAATGATCAAGGTCATACTGTTACAGTTATACATTAGGCTTGAAATTTCCATGAAACGTGTAACCTTCGAAAAAATTAAATGATACGTTATTCTGACGTCATGTGTCAATATAAAACATTTCTTAGTCGGAACGCAAGCATTGATAAATAATACTACTTGTATAATTTATTGAATGGAGTTTTTATTTGGAAAACATCGTGTTTTGCTTCTCGAGATGAAAATTGGAAATTTTTTAGTGATCACCTTTGATCTGGATTTTAGGCATGGTGCCACCAGATTTTATATTTACGACACATATAGCTTTCCAATGAGCTATTAGAATGTCATGAGGTATTAAATTAATTTGAATTTCTAAAATTTCCTCTCCGCCGCTCCACTCTATTACTTTGGATTAAGTTTTGCTCGTCAAGTGAAGGCTAATCTCACCATGAACCATAAAGTACACTATATTATTTACAATTATGTCATAGTGAAGTAAACATGTTGTTCTTTTACAAAGAATGAAAAAATTACAATTCTTTGAGCAAGTAAACGTATTTCTGCATTTAGGCATGCCTTAAACAATTACTTGTACAGTGACTATTTTCCCGTTAAATCACAGAATCACATTAAATTTCTTTTTCAACTGTTTTGCACGTAAGCCTATGGAGCAGTTAATTACAAGACTGCAACCTAAAGGAAACTTTACATTCATCCAAAACACTGGTATATTATTACTTATTAAGATTTCCAACGTTTTGGCCACAAACGTCATATCAGTAAACTGGAAAAATTGAAGACCTGTGTTGTTTAACAAATCAAAAACTGTTTACCTTCCAATTTTACGTCAAACTTAATTCAAACATTAATTACATGAGTTTACATTTTACCATTTTGTCTTGTATTTATACAATCGACAATTTTTAATAATAGGAAATATAAATGTGATAACCAATTTAAGAGAAAAAAAAACAGAAAAGGGATTTGGAGGCACGAATGTATAAAAGCACGGTGCTATTCTCAATTTGTAATTTATCGGATCTTAACATTACAGTAGGCATGATTCTTTTTTAGAAACAGTGCCTCAACTTGAAAAATTTCGACATTTATCTATCGTCGATGGTTAGACACATTGTTATAGTGAAACATTTTAAAAGCACAAATGAATCATTTATAACAATAAATGTTAGAAAACACTTCATCAAAATTACTACAGGCAAAATATTTACATGTTTTTCTATCCTAGATAAATATTTATTCATAAAGCATAAGCATGTTAAATTATGATACATTTTTTCACAAAAAATGAATGCTGAGATGCACCTCATCATCAATAAGTTCGATTTTAATATTCCTTTCATTTACTGTTTATACATTTGTTTTACTACATCAAAACATAAGCTACAAAGGAGTCTTTGGACTTGGTTATTTGTAATATAATACCCTTTTCTGATAATTATTTCTAGATCTCGCAAAGCATATCCCTTTCCAGTAAAGTCTTCAAGATGATGAAAACATAAAAAAAGTAATAAGTGTCCAAAGAGGTGAGGAGGAAAATATTCCAACTCTTTTACTGTGCATTTCAGTTCGGCTGGCAACAAGTGGGACGACTCGGTCATATAGACGTCGTTTATAATTGCGTATCTACAGGCAGCAAGTAAACATTGATTCATATATGTCATTCTAAGTTTTTCAAATGCATTTTGTGATTTTAATTCAACACGGAGTTTTAATAAAATTTTGGATGCGTCACATTCAGACAGACATTGGATAATGATGTGTATACACTCACGGTATTGTTTACAGGTGTAGAAGAAAGATGCTAGTAATAACCAACCAGCCGCGACATCATGATGGACGCCTAGTAACAAATGAAACATGCATTTTCGATATCTCTTATAATTATATTTGTTGTTTCTTTTGTTTTTGTCAACCATACACATCCGACTATGTGCTATTGTTTGATGACGCAATGATAAAAGATATGCACAAACATTTGTTGCCGAGAGTTCTTGACATTTATCATGGGCTATCCATTTTAATATCGATATTGAATTTATACCACTGCTAATATATTCTGCGTTTACATAAAAAAAGAATGGAACAGCAGACACTCTTGGTACAGTATCTGGTGGTAAAGAAGATAACTTGACAAAACCTTGCAGTGTGTCTGTACATAAAAGACAACACCAACCTTGTTTATATAGAAATCGCATGGTAGATAACAACTCAATTTGCTGTTGCTTTCTAAATCGGTTTTCAAAGAAATTATTTTCAGGGATAAAGTAGTGAAGGCATGTATTATATTCTACACTATACAAAAGACGCCGTAAACATTCATTGAAACAAGAAAGAATGTTCTCTGGTTTCCAAATTAATTGATCCGATTCTTCAGATATCCAAAACATAACCGTTTTTACAAAATACGAACACAAAAGATCTCCATGTTTCTTCTTTATAATATCAATGAGTAGAATTTTCAATAACGCGTAGCAAAAAAACTGTGTATGGCAGAAGGAATAAACTAGAAGTTTTTCAGCTAAAGAAAATGAAATTCGCCATTCATTGTCCTTGTTCAGAGAGTCTGCATTCCCAATAGGAACAAAATGCACACCGTTTAGTAAAATTGAATCAATAACACATTCATCTGGCCATTGTGTTCTTGATCTGCCAATCCATTGACGGGCAGGATTTATCCATTCACAACATTTGAAGCATCTGGCAAAATCCAATTTCCCATTTATGTCAGATTGACATGGACCGTGTGTTATAGTGTATTCCGTAGAAAAAAGATCTCTGAACAACTTGCTGGAAATGTATGACGCATTTTGTTCATTTTGAAGTGTCTTATTCAGTATTGAATCGTTACCATAATGATAGTCGTATTTAACTAGCTTCGTAAAGCCAGGTTTTGTAGATTCATTGTCCATTAAAATAGGTATAGCACTTGTTAGGTCCTGAATTTTGTCGACGTTTTCATATACACGATAATTTTTTAAGACCTGCATTTCATCAAAATCACTTTCTTTTAAATCCAACCCTTCTGCCTTACTACCACTAATGACAAATTTAAAGCTCTCATCGTGGTCTCTGACACAATCAACCCAAGAGAATATCTGCCGTCTCATCTTCCCCACTTCCTCTGTCCCGATGACGTGACAAAGATAATCATAGAAGTGTAAGGAAAGGTCTTTTCTTATGTTGTCCATATTTAATCAAACTGAAATATTAAGATTTCAATGATTGGTTGATTTATTTTTACACATACTAATTGATAACTGAAAAGAAAGAGATCAACGATAGATCAAGGTACATTAAATATTACATATCCTTGGAATTCAATTTCAAAAAGATTAATTAGCCAATTAGAAATTCATTATTTAAAAATACACCGATTAAAATCATCCCTACGAAAGTTAAACGGTTGCCATCACGAATTGATTGACCGTTATAAAATATCTGTGTAACAGATGATTACGAATATGTTGCAATTGTCGAAACCACAATTCCATCCTCATTTCCTCGATGGCGACATCACCGAACAAGGCGCATCATCGAATGTGTACTTACCATTACAAAAACCTAGGATGCCACTAATGGAGCCGGATCTGGTTACCGGGTACCGAGATTTCCTCTGTTTTGGTGCTTCTCAGTCTTTCGTTTTCTATGTAGGGTTTTGTCAACTTTTTTTGTATTTTGGTCGTCTTTTTTTTGTTTTTTTTTGTCATGGATTTGTCAGTTTTGAATGTCACATGGTATATTCCGCCTCCTTTTTAAATCTGTTTGGAAATATATGAATCAGCTGATTTGGTTGGATTGCCATTGAGACAAACGGACAATGATGTAGACATTTATAGCTATAGGGCACTGTACGGCCTTCAACAGCTCTCTAAGCAGGTGCCCTTTGACAAATGATATACTAATATAACTTTGATATTTTGATTTTTATACGCATGTAGTAAGTCCAACGTCGAATAATCCCCCACAACCAAATAACTTGCATTACGAAAAATTTTGCCTGCACCAAATAGAAATTATGTTCCCTCGTTAATATATCGATTTTATAAAAGCCACTAAAAAGGAGGTTTTGTATGTATTGTGATGATAGCCACTTAAAGTCTCTGAATACAATGTACTTTGTGTCATGTCAATTCTTCATTAAAACTGCTGCATTTATTAATGACGAACGGGTACCAGTTCTAAAGAGGGAAAACTAGAAATAACTAGAATTTAAAGACAAAAAAAATGCAGATAAGATATGTGAAAACCGATAATATTTTGAAATAATAAATTTTATATGATTCAGTTTCAACATCCATAATTATTTGTCTGTTAATACTCTTATTTGTCCTGAGGGTGCCAATAAACAGTGTATGTGTTGTCATAAATAAGATAATACTGATATATAAACCACATTTCTATTTATTCATAAATATACCCTTTTACTTTTTATAATATGAAGCATCATTTCTTTTGTTTAATTCAACTGGATATTCCCCTGAAATATGTATGATTCTCGGAATGTTTTTAATTTTTCATTTGAAATCCTGGTGTAGCATTTATACTGATGATTTTTTTTGTCAATGACTCAACTTTCGATGATTAAAAGATCTAATTCAAAGATTGTCACCATTTGATTATTTTAATCATTACAACTGAAATGTTTCTGGTAACAGCATATGGATGACAAAGAAATATCTATAGACTATTTTTGTTTGTTTGTAGGACGAAGATTTAACTTTTACATTGTTATCGATGTATTCGATTTCTATACAAATGTGCATCTATTTTAAGATTTGTTATACATACACTTCGCTTTAATATGAGTGAATAAAAACATTGTAAAAATAATACACATAAATTCATCCTTTCATCCAAGTTCATTAGAGGATCCAAATGTTTTGGAGATATTGTAGAAAACGGAAATCTTGTGCATTTTTCTGACAATAAAGCTTTAGACAAATCTTGATCGCATCCTACGATCTACGATGTTTTGTTACTAAAAAGTGGCAAGGTTTACATTGTATATTGAAACCACAGACACAACACTTTTCTGGATCGAGGGTTGTGGCCAAAGTTAAATTTTCCAAAAACTGTAATAATTATGGAAAAAATTATCATTGCAGCACAAATATTTCATAATTAATGCGTCATTACTTCGTAAAATATAATGCAGTGTATCAAAACGAAGTAACTTTGTATCGATAGTTATATCACACAACTTTTTATATGTAATATTGTGGTGCTCTGTTAAAATATTTTTTTAAATATTAAAATCTCAGGGCCAATTTTCTTCCATTGTAAACCGTCTCTTTTATACATTGAAAGATCAAGACGGACTCACTATCATTTGAGCGGTCAACTTAAGTCTTTCAATTCATTTTTAAATAGCAATCTGTCACTTTGAGCCCTCCATACACACCGAAATGTTTCCTACATCTAGAAATAAGATTTTTTCAGTTTTCCAATTGTAAACGTTTCTTTTCTATATCGCAACATTTCAGCAGCGCCTGCATATAGACTATATATCTCCGAGTTGATACGACATTCCAGAGCTTGCATTTCCTATCATGAATTCCTTTAAATACAGTTGCTGATTACAAGGCAGCTATTAAACCAATTGTTCCAAGTGGTGAAGTTGAAATCCTCCCCTCAAAAATTTATGAACGACATCACAAGTTTGTTGGCTGTTATAGATTATCTGTTTCACAGATGACGACGGATATGTTCCAATTGTCTAGATCTTAGTCACAATACAGTCCTCTATTCCTCAAATGTTACCTACCGAATTAGACTTATCACCAATTTTGGACTAACATGAGCAACATGACAGGTAGTACATGTAGATTAGGATCTGCCTTCCCTTCCAGAGCATCTGAGATCATCCAGAGTTTTTAGTTGGGTGTTCTTGTTGCGTTTTGTTTGTGTTTTGGTTGTTTTTCGTTTTTTTGTCGCCATGGCATTGTCAGTCCGTTCTTGACTGATGACTTTGAATAACCGTTTGGTATCTTCCGCATCTCTTTTGCGTGAATTCCTCTGAATAGCTTTTGCTTCTATTATATCATCGAACTATAGACCTAATATATTGAAGCTTGAAAGATCAGGAAGGTCTAGTCAATGCTATTTACCTTGAATATTTAATTATTTTTATCTCTCGGTACATTCCGAAAAATAGTATTCAAAGAATTTTTTTCGATAAAATCTGTATATGTATACTAGCCTTTAAAGTGCAAACCAAATTATAAGAAATTAAAAGATCAAGAAGTTTTCATTGTCAGTTGAGCGGTCGCCTGTGCCTTTTTGCAATATATTTTGAATATCAAGCTGGCACTTTGAGTCCTCAATACACATCGCAGAAAAAATTTCATTAACTCCGCTGTGACATTTATATCTATGGTATCTTACTCTAGGCGCAATGTAATGACTATTAATAGGTCGAGACCTGAACCCTTTATCCTGGATTTTGTTTCTCAGTTGTATTATACACGTGACACTTTGAGCCCTCCGTCGATACCAAAGATAACAGGTTTCCATGACCGATTTAATGCAGATTGAAAGATCAGGAAGGTGTCACTCATTTAAACGGTCTAATGCAATATATTTTGTATAAAATTTCTATTATGACTTTCCATAGTTATTAGTTCTTTTATATATAAAAATAAGGAGATGTGGTATGATTGCCAATGAGACAACCATGCACCGGAGTTCGTGTTTTATATATGCATTTTTGGAGTGGTCATGTTGTAAAATAATATTTTTATTCTGTTTATTAGTAACGATTGATAAATTATAAAGACAGAATCGTGATCGATGTAAAGGGTTATATTTGAAAACAACGAGAACTTACGATCAATTGTAAGGGTCACAAAAGAATCATTACGTCTCTTTTAATGTATATATCCATTATTAAATACGGATATATAATTTGTACATTTTTAAAAATTATTTTTGACTGATTTTTTAAAAAACAAAGCGGTGTCATATGGTATTTTGAACCCCATGGAAAATTGACCCCGGGGTCAAAATACCGCTTTGGTAAAATGAACCCACCATGGTAAATTGAACCCCCATTGTATGGAAAATTGACCTCCCCATGGTAAATTGAAGCCCCTGTTTTTTTCATTCTAGATAATTATTAGAACATTATACATTATTTAAAAGCTTATTATAGATTGAAAATCAGACATACCAAAAGGGGAGGTAAATGTTCCATGGTAGGAAAAAAATACCATGGCTTGGTATAGGTGCTCTGAACATGCTGAAGTCTTTACCAATAAAATTTCATTCAAAATACTTATTGAAGCATTATGACTAGAACATGAACCTTCAATGTTTTGATTATTTGAAATCCTTAAATATAAAGGGAGTTAAATTTCCCATGGTAAAAAAGGGGGAGGGGGTCAAATTACAATGGCTCAGTAAAATTGTTAAAACATCTTTACAATATGACTTATATGTACCATATATTAATTAGAGTATTAAAACTTTGAAAAGTAGTTTGAAATAATTTGATTTTTGAAAATTGAGGTGTAAAGATAAGGGGGTTCATGGCAAAAGGAGGGGATTGGGAGGTCAAAATACCATATCTAAGAAAAATGGTTAAAAAATCATGTTTCATATATACCAAATACTAGTTACAGCATTATAACTATGTAAAATAATTTGAATAGGTATGACTTTTCCAGCATGTTGAATACATACAAACTACTTATAAGAGTATTATAACTATGTAAGGGAGTTAGAATAGCTAGAATTTTTGAAATTCGAGGTCTATAGAAGGGGGTTCAATATACCATGGCAGGGGGGTCAAAATACCATGGCTAAGTAAAATTTTCAAAACATCTTTTCCAGCATGTTGAATATATACAAACTACTATTTGGAGTACTATTACTACATAAAGGAGTTAGAAAAGCTAGAATTTTTGAAATTGGAGATCTATAGTAGGGGGTTCAATTTACCATGGCAGGGGGGTCAAAATACCATGGCTAAGTAAAATTTTCAAAACATCTATTCCAGCATGTTGAATATATACAAACTACTTATTGGAGTATTACAACATAAAGGAGTTAGAAAAGCTAGAATTTTTGAAATTAGAGGTCTATAGTAGGGGTTCAATATAACATGGCAGGAGGTCAAAATACCATGGCAAAGTAAAACTTTAAAACATCTTTTCCAGCATGTTAAATACATAAAAACTACTAATTGGAGTATTATTACTACATAAAGGAGTTAGAATAGCTAGAATTTTTGAAATTAGAGGTCTATAGTAGGGGGTTCAATATACCATAGCAAGGGGGGGGGGGGGGTGTCAAAATACAATGGCTAAGTAAAATTTTCAAAACTTTTCCAGCATGTAAAATACATACATACTACTTAGTGGACTATTATAACTATGTAAAGGAGTTAAAATAGCTCGAAATTTTGAAATTAGAGGTCTATAGTAGGGGGTTCAATAAACCATGGCAGGGGGGTCAAAATACCATGGCTAAGTAAAATTTTCAAAACATCTTTTCCAGCATGTTGAATATATACAAACTACTATTTGGAGTACTATTACTACATAAAGGAGTTAGAAAAGCTAGAATTTTTGAAATTAGAGATCTATAGTAGGGGGTTCAATTTACCATGGCAGGGGGGTCAAAATACCATGGCTAAGTAAAATTTTCAAAACATCTATTCCAGCATGTTGAATATATACAAACTACTTATTGGAGTATTACAACATAAAGGAGTTAGAAAAGCTAGAATTTTTGAAATTAGAGGTCTATAGTAGGGGTTCAATATAACATGGCAGGAGGTCAAAATACCATGGCAAAGTAAAACTTCAAAACATCTTTTCCAGCATGTTAAATACATACATACTACTTAGTGGACTATTATAACTATGTAAAGGAGTTAAAATAGCTCGAAATTTTGAAATTAGAGGTCTATAGTAGGGGGTTCAATAAACCATGGCAGGGGGGTCAAAATACCATGGCTAAGTAAAATTTTCAAAACATCTTTTCCAGCATATTAAATACATACATACTACTTATTGGAAAATTAAAACTATGTAAAGGAGTTTGAATAGCTAGAATTTTTGAAATTAGAGGTCTATAGTAGGTGGCTCAATATACCATGGCAAAGGGGGGTCAAAATACCATGGCTAAGTAAAATTTTCAAAACATCTTTTCCAGCATGTTAAATACATACATACTACTTATTGGACTATTCTAACTATGTAAAGGAGTTAGAATAGCTTGAATTTTTGAAATTAGAGGTCTATAGTAGGGGGTTCAATATACCATGGCAAAGGGGGGTCAAAATACTATGGCAAAGTTAAACTTTCAAAACATCTTTTCCAGCATGTTAAATACATACAAACTACTTATTGGAGTATTATTACTATATGAAGGAGTTAGAATAGCTAGATTTTTTTGTAGTTAAAGGTCTATAGTAGGGGGTTCAATAAGCCATGGTAGGGGGTCAAAATACCATGGCTAAGTAAAATGCTGGAAAAGATATTTTGAAAATTTTACTTAGCCTGTTAGACATGGTATAATACCATGCGGTATCATCATAATGACCCCGGGGTCAATTTTCCATATGGTATTTTGACCCCGGGTTCACTTTTCAGGGGGTTCAAAATACCATATGACACCGGTGCTAACTTCACATACATCATTTACTGTGCCATGACCTTAATGATCTGATTTTGTGCTTCCTATATATAGCTACATATTATGATAAATGTATTAATCCTTTTCAAAGAAAGAGCTAATTTATTGATATCTATTTTTTTTCAAATCAAAACAATTATCTGAAACCAACATTCTTTTAATTCGGCGACACTGAAAACATAATGATTATTCTTTAAAAAGAGTATAAAGCGAAACTACATATTAGGTTAAAAAAAGAAGTGCTTGTTCGTTAACTTCTGAAATATCCACAATGCAAATGAGTAATCTGTTTACGTAAGTACATCATTTTAACTATGGGGAAATATAATAGAACAACAAAAGATATGGGGTATCCATCCATGACACAAAATCAGTACATGCTTAGCAAAAAAACACACAAAAAGCAAAGGAACAGCACTTTTATTGCTGTTCTTCATCTCAAATTCACTGTGTGGCTATCAACACTGAGCAAAAAACTCTCACCTCAATGAATAAATAAGACGGCCCCTATCACCGGTTTTAGCGGAGTTCTTTGCAAAATGATTCGGATAGACTTTGTAACACAACGAAATCGGGCCCAGTCAAAAAAGTACATACTGGAAAGTTGTACATATTTAAAACAAAATAATTCCTACGCCTTGGTGTAAATATCAAACTATGTGGAATATATTTTAGTAATTAAGGTATCAAAAGAAAGGTGAACGACAATATATTTTTTTACAAACACCAGACCTACCTAGGATTATCTAATTTGTTATTAAGGTCAAAACTCATTTAGAAAATCTGTCGAGGTGCCGAAATAACTGAATTAACTGTATATGATTAAAAAAAAACAATTCTATGGCTTATATTAATAATTTCAGTAAATAAAGAATCAAATATCTCTAATATATGATTTACCTATTTGAAAACCATGTAATGGTAAACAATTCCTCCGAAGGTCTTCCTCTGTCTGTGTATTGTTTAATTCAATGTGTTATGTTCCTGTATCACCTTTAAATATTCAAGAAAAAACGCATTTACCTGGTATATATGATGTTGTGTAGCTTAATCATGCTTAGTAAAAAAAATCCTACGAAGATGACCCCCTTCCTCTTTACTTTGTAATAATATATGTCTTATACCTGTATCACGTTTAAAAATACATACAAAAAAAACGGAAAACCCATTACCTGATGTACACTTTTACAAAATTTACGTACTTAAGTTATAGTTTATTTTATTAAAAAACCTACCGTGACATTTATTTTTAATTCATTTAATCGTGAACTATTAAATCTCCGTTTTTACACTGTTTAATAAAATTTGGATGTATGAAAAATCTGTTTGGCTAAAAGAGGATAGTACCTTTTTCTTTCATTTTGTCATTTTGTTTGTCTTTGTTGACATAGTGGTTTATTTTTAAAGTGATTAAGATTATAACACAATGTTGACTTCTGTACCCAAATTTTTGACATTTTTACCTATTATGTCTGTTTGATTTGCTAACACATTGTTATAAATATAATGGAATGTTATGCAACTCTTATACAAGTGGGAGGTTTAACTAGCTTTACAACCAGGTTTAATCGATCATTTTCTACATAAGGAAATGCCTGTACCAAGTCAGGAATATGACAGTTGTTTTCCATTCGTTTGATGTGTTTGAGCTTTTGATTTTGCTATTTGTTAAAGGCTTTCCGTTTTGAATTTTCATTTGAGTTCGGTATTTTTGTTATTTTACTTTTTACTGATATACATTTTTTTCAATTCAAAAAGTTATTTAAGACGAACGTTGGTTGAGTGCGGCAACACTGAAAACATAATAGTTATTCTGTAAAGAGTATAACGGTAAACGACTTATATACTTCTAAATTATTAAAAGGGAAACGATTGTTCACTAACTTCTTCCGAAATCTCCACAATGCAAAAGAGTATCTTTTGATGTAAGAAAATTAATTTAACTTTGGGGCAATGTAAATGTTTAAAAACACAAAACATACCAGTCCTATGATTATCTGATTTGTTATACTGTATCACTTTTGAATATTAAAGACATAACACATTCACCTGGTATTTATGATATGATCTAGTAAATATCTTCCTACAAAGATTACCCCCTTCCTCGTTACTTTGTAATAATCTATGTCTTATACCTGTATCACGTTTGAAAATTTATGTATATTTTTACATAATTTGCTAATTATTTAAGTTTAATCTATCATTTTATTAAAAACCTACCCGTGACATTTACACTGTTTAATAATTTGGATGTATAAAAATCTGTTCGGCCAAAGAGGATAGTAACGCTCCTTTCAAACAGTTTTTGAAAAATATCTTAAGGATTTTGTTATAAGATGATTCATTTTATCCGGTCAAAATAAATTTCATTCAGACTATGACTGGATAAACCTTTTCAGCGATTAACTGCAGAAATGAGTGAGCTGGTTTGTAAAAAGTTAAATCACAAAAATACTGAACTCCGAGGAAAATTCAAAACGGAAAGTCCCTAATCAAAGGGCAGAATCAAAAGCACAAACACATCAAACGAATGGACAACAACTGTCATATCCTGAATTGGTACAGGCATTTTTTTATGTAGAAAATGGTGAATTGAACCTGGGTTTATAGCGCTAAACCTCTCACTTGTATGACAGTCGCATCAAATTCCATTATATTGACAACGATGCGTGAATAAAACAAAAACATAATAGGTAAAAATGTCAAAATAGGGGTACAGCAGTCAACACCGTGTCACAATCTTAATCACAACAAAAACAAACAAATATTTGACAAAGAAGCACAAAAAAGCATATATCACATTTGTAAACCAGTATTTTCACTCTGGTTTGAGGTTTTATTTTGGAGGCAAGACATTGCAAGTTAAAAGTCTGCGTCAATGTTGCGAGTACATTCTAATTTCAAAGCTTTAACTGATGCCAGATATAGTACAGCTGCAGGTTTTGTAGCTCATTCTGGTTATATTATGTTCAAATAGTTGTTACAATATGAAATCAATCAAAGGTTTCACATGTGGAGAATTGAAAGCTGCTGAACTGTCAATACATAGTAATACAATACAATCGAGGTGGTCACTGCGCCAGTCAGTACCCAATATCGTGTTTGTTCTATTGTGTTAAGTAAGAAAAGTGTACATAACTGCCTGTGCTCAATTATGTTCACATGGTTTCAAAATAGCTGGAGCATTTTAGCACATGAATATTTTAATTTTGTTCAAACGAAGTGAATAAAAACATAGGCGAAAGATACCAGAGGGACATTCAAACTCATAAGTCGAAAATAAACTGACAACGCCATGCGATGTTTTATTCATACTCGGTCAATGATCGTAGGCATCAATTAATATGCAAGTTGGGTCAAATACCAATAAGTAAATTGCATGATATGCTCTAGGAATGTGATACAGTTTGGTTTTTCAGCCAAATCTATGAACGTTCACGGTCATCTTTGTGTCACCATGGCCTGTTTCTAAAAATTAAATATATTAGCAGAGGTATTGATTTTTTTCAACTTACCTAGTATAATTCATGACTCTACCATTTAAAATTTATACCTGCCTATTTTGGTTGCATAGAATCACCTGTTATTTCGTATTTTGAATTATACGTTAGGTACATCAGACGTCAGTATAGCAAATAATGTTTCTTCAACTGGAGACTGTGAATCATCGAACTTTAAATAAGATCCATATGGCATGTTAATACATGATCTTCCAACTGGTGCTTTTTGCAGGAAAAAAGCAACAAATATTAGCCTGGGATCATGGCTCACTGCTCGATAAGGGATGCGATGAGAAGGTTTTGACCAGGATGCCAAGCTAAGCAAATATCTTCACGTCACAATATCCTATGACGCGTCCCCCCCCCCCCTCCCCCCCGAAAGACCCCAGGCTGTCTATACAGGATACCACAATTTCGTTCAAGATCTCATGGTTAAAAACTTTCTAAAAAGGGGCCAACATATCGTTTCGATGGAAATTGATTGAAAACAATGTCATCAGGTCACCATTTGCGCCCTTTTAAACGCAGATTATTTCCCATTTTGTTATGAATCACAGTTGATGACCAAACTTTGTAAAGACCCGTCTAAATTCCATTTAATTGATAAATACAACAATAATTACTGTTATATGGATGATTAGTATAGCTAGATGATCAAGAATTTTAAAATATATTGTCGAAATTTACCCAAAGGAGCTTACTTTAAATAAATCAAAATATAAACTTCAATAACTGTCCATTGCTAGATTAAGATATTTCGGGATCACACGGGACTCTCTGTACAAAAAATTACAACAAAAGGGACGATTTTTCGTTCCCTATTGTTAACTTTCCTTTTTGTGGACAGTGATGTTCCTTTGGTCCCATCTGACGGTGTTTATTCCAGCTCGTTCGCAATGCCCGTGACGTTATCACAAATTAATTAATGGATTTACTAAATTTTTCATGGATACAAATATTTGTTTTGTACGTTCGGCTGAAAACGGGATATCACATCCTGATTGTTACTGTAATGTTGTTTATAGAGCCCGCAAATTTAGGTACGATCTGTGTAAATATATATAGAAATAAGGAGATGAGGTATGATTGCCAATGAGACAACTATCCACCAAAATTAAAATGAAGTGGATGTAAGCAATTATAGGCAACCGTACGGCCTTCAACAATGAGAAAAACCATACCGTATAGTCGGCTATAAAAGGCCCCGACATAAGAAAATATGAAACAATTCAATTGAGAAAACTAACGGCCAAATTTATAACAAAGCAATTTACGAAAAAAAAAAATATGACCGACATGAACTAACGGGGCGGGGTTCAACATGTTTGTGAGCGCTCAACCCTCCCCTAACCCGGGACAGTGGTGAAACAGCACAACATAAGAACAAACTATAAAAATCAGTTGAAAAAGGCTTAACTCAACAGATCGATACAAAGCAGAACTATCAAACAAAAACACAGACCGGACGTGTCAGGGTATTTATCCATCCCTCATCCCTAACAACAAAACCCTCATCCCTAACAACAAAAAAGACACTAAGTACAGATCTTAGAGTTCTCGCAGTTACTGACAGCTAGTTCAAAGCCAATAACAACTAAAAATAATCATGTATCTAAGACTAAAATATCAATCAGTACACATCCAACATCCAATGGATTTAGTATAAAGACGTCATTAACAGTCAGTGACTTTAAATAGGCCCATTAATAGACTTTTATATTAACTTATTCCAAAAAGGTTATCAATTTAAAACTGTATCAAGATCTTTTAATATTGTTATCATCGGTACAAATAAACTCATCATAGATACCAGGATTAAAATTGTGTACGCCAAACACCATGTTTCATCTACAAAAGACCCATCATTGACGCTCAAATAAAAAAAAAAGTTTAAAAGTCCAAACATTGATTTTGTTATCAATCAGTTAAAATATAACTAGGTATTATTGCTATATAAAAATACACATTTACTGTCCTACATTCTATCGATACATATATATATTATACAAGATCATGTTTTTCTCTGACCAAGTCAAGTGGATGTGTACTGATTGATATTTAAGTCTTGAATACATGATTTGTATTAGTAGATATTGGCTTTGAACTAGTTTACAAAAACTGCGATTATTCTCAACTCTTTGTATCTGAAGTCTTTTTTTTAAAAATTTTTCCCACTGATTTAAATGGGTTTTTTTTCTTGTAGTGCGCTGTTCCGATAACTGTTCAACCCGACAGCATTCTGTATGTGCCTGTCTCACAAGTCAGGAGCCTGTAATTCAGTGGTTGTCGTTTTTGCTGAATATCATATTTGTTTTTCGTTCATTGTTTTTAACGGTGATCTATAATTGCTACTTTCTAAGTCATTTGTTTTATGATAGAAAGTTGACACATTGGAAATCAAACCAAAAGTTATTTTTTATAAAAAAAAAAATTTTCAAATCGTCATTTAATGGCAATAACTCTTTAAGAAGTCATCATAAAATGATGGTGAAAATTGGAAGTAGGTAGATCTTGGCATCTTGTGTGCATGTTTGCCCCAATCA